CTGCTGCTGCTGCTGCTGCTGCTGCTGCTGCTGCTGCTGCTGCTGAGGTTCAACATGATGGCCCTCTCCTTGGGGAGGAACAGTCTCCATATAATATTCCTCTGGTGCCAACTGTTGATCATACCCTTCAACTGCATTGTAACCCTCTTGCAGCAACATCTCAGTACCCTCAACAGTATAGCCCTGTTCAGTACCCTCAAGAGCATAACCCTGTTCACCAGCTTCAAACTCATTACCTTGGGTGTACTCAGTGCCCCATTCTGCCTCAGTTCCTTGGTAACCTTCTTGGTATTCCTCCTGCCATTGCCCTTCTGCTTCACCCTGATACCACCCCTCTTCGGTCTGGTATACGGCAGTCTCATCATACTGTTGCCACTCTCCACCTTCCTCAGAATACTGATATTGATACTCCCCCTCAGCCTCAGCATAAACAGCACCCTGACCTGCATCCAAAACCTCTCCTTCGGCTCCACCCTCTATGTACTCTCCTTGGTAGTCCTGTGTCTCCTGGTAAGCCTCTCCTTCCACAGGGTAATAGAGTCCATCCTCTCCAAGGTAATACTCTCCTTCATAACCAGCACCAGCTTCTCCTTCTGCACCTTCCTGAGGGTATTCACCTTCGTACCACTCTTCATACTCTTCTTGATCACCAGTCTGCCACTCTTCTTGAGGATAGGAGTAGTACTCTTGTTCATATCCTTCACCCTCTGCTCCCTCTTCGTAATAGTAGGTGTTAGGATCACCTCCTTCCCCTTGCTCAGTAGCCCATTCCTGGTTAACATTTTCACTCTCTTGATACGAACTGCCAAAGTTCTGCTCGTCAACAGCACTTTCAGTCTGAAATTCGTTAGCAAATTTGGCTGTCTCCCAATCAACATTTCCAGACTCACTTTCCATAGATGCTGACAAATCAGAGTAGTGAGCACTGCTGATGCTGTCATTTTGTCCTTCTTTGCTCAAAGATGGATGATCAAACTGTTGCTCTTTGGGATGTGGTTTTCTCACATTCTGTTGAATGCTTCTTCCCGGTAACACTTCTGGTTCTTTTGGTAGAGGTATGGAAATTAAATTTTGCGATTTCCGACTGTTTCCACGCCCTGTGTCTTTCCCTCTCTTGGCATAATGCACCGAAATACTGTTGGTATCAAAAGCTCCAGCTGAAGAGAACTCCACAATTCTTTCATCGTGAGGAGCTTGCAATGATCTGGATCTTTCATCGTTGCCTGAAAATTCATCTTGCCCAGATATGCTACTATAGAATGACTCGTCATCCGAGTCTCCACTAAAGCTGTCATACTTTCTTTTCTTAGCCTTTTTCTTTGCTTTCTTGGACTTCACTTTCTCCTTTTTCTTTTGCTTTCCAGTAGGCGACCTGGAGGATCTTTTCCCTGAGTCGAGAGGTTTTTCCTCGCCTTTGACTTTCTTCTTGTCCTTCTTTGTGTCCTTCGTTGTATCAGGCATCTTTTCCTGTCGATCAATTGTTATTTTAAGCGTATCAATCTTCATCTTCGAACCTGATTTCTCATCGCTTTTACCGCCTTTGGTCTTCTTTTCGTTCACGATCTTCACTTCTCTCACGGGAGAATCTCTCTCTTTCTTTATTAACTTGGGCGACTCTTTACGTTTATCGCTTTTTAAAATCACTTCTCTGACATTGTCAGTCTTTTTCTTTACATCTTTCTTAACTTCTTTAAAATTTTTGTCTTTCTGTTCTTTAACAGCAAGTAAATCCTTAGATGAACTTTGTTTGTCTTTCGGTTTTCCAGGTTTGGACTTGTCCTTGACGTCCGTTTTTGAGACTTCAGTCGCCGTTTTCAGCTCCCAATTACCCTTAGAGACATCTCTCTTTTTCTCTTCAACGTTCTTCACAGATTTCTGCTCCAACTGCTTTTCCATGCTTTTAATGTCAGATTTTAATTTATCTACATCCTTTGCTGAATTCTTCTCTTTCTCCTCCCTACTCGATGTCTTAGTTTTGTGCTTTTTCTTTCTGCCTCCATCTCTATCACCCTTCCCTGACAATCCATCAAGACTCACACTGCGCCAACTGCGGCAAGTACTACAGCTGTGACTGCTACATGTGCTGCAAAAACTGCTGCTTCTACTTCTGCTCCCTCTTTCTTTTCTCCTTGGACTTCTACTTCTTCTGTCTCGTCTGGGACTAATGGGAGACCTGGATGATTTTCGGTACTTGTTGTCGACAGGACTACGAGATTTGCTTCTTCGGAAGATGTTCCTGACTGTGGCGCCTACTGGTGGCTGGGAAACACCTCTTCCTCTACCACGAAAAACAAATCCTCTTCCTCTAATAGTCATGATACCTCTACCTCTACCACCAGACCCAACACCTCTTCCTCTGAAACCCCTTCCTCTGCCTCGTGGATTAAACAGTCCACCTCTACCACGGTTGTTGTTATTCATATTTCCCCTACCTCGTCCACGTCCTTGAGGTTGAGTGGTTGTCAAACTATCTTTTTCCTTGGATTTTCTCGTGTTAGTACTGTCCAAACCTGACCAATTCTGGGTTGTGAATTTGCCTTTACTGGGTGGTATGACCTCTCGCTTCGAGCTGCTGCTACTCATCCCAACCTCTTTTTTGCTGTCAGATCTCTCGGAACTTCTGCTACGCGACCTTGAATCTTGCATGTTTCTTGGAAAATAACCACTCTTTTTAGGAAGAAGAGGAGGGTCATTGTTCTTTTCTACTCCAGGTTTCTGAACATTTTTATTGATTGGCGTTCGAAGATTCCTTGGTAAAAATCCTGATGGAAACAGGGGCTTTGGCCCTGGTTTCTGGGAACTTAATGTGGAACCTTTGGATTGGCTGCTCACGGTTAAGCTTGGCGTTGTGGTACTAGTTTTTGAGGTTTGATGTCTTTGATCTCTTTGGTCACGTATTGAGTCAGAGGATTTAGGCCACATGTTGTCTCTCTTGGATTCTCCATCGAATAGTGGACCTAGTAAAAATAAATTTGCCATCCGTAAGTGTAGTACATACAGGTCATCTTCACACCAAGGCTGTTGTAATTTAAACAACTCTTAGAGAAACATTGAGGACAGCATCTCGAAAAGACATCACACTTTTCACATGTAACATGCACATAAGCCAAAGAGAAGACAAACCCAGCACATACCATTTGATATAAGAAAGTAGCATTAAACCTATTGTGTAGTTCCAGAATATATCCATCCCCCTTTATAGCTCATAGCCCTTCCCATCTGGATTTTCCAATTACTCCTTCCCTGCAACATGGAAATATTTCCATCTCTCACTGAAGTGAAAACAAAAGTTACTAAGTTCTCAAAGATGCCAAAGTTACTATTAAGGTCATTCCACTGAAATAGAACCTGCACTGAGATTTTTGTGAAACTTTGCCTATTGATTGTTGATATTATAGGAACTTAAATTTTGAAATAAAAATGAGGGGTCCCCATGTTCGTTTAGGAGCAACAGCACCTTGTTTATACCCATATAAATCCTTATAATAGCATCATGATTGTAGTCGTGATTGCTTGCTAAATTCACGTTTCCGACAATTGCTTTTTGTCCTACACTGAGAATTGGTCCATATTTATTTTACACAGAGAAATTTATTACTCAATTCAAAACAACAGAAAAAAATGATAGGTCGCCATACTAGTTTGCGAGAAAATGACAATTTACCTCTATGGAGAGGTCCAGCTGTAAAGAGAAAGCCGCCATTTTTTAACGCGCGCGCGCTAATCACGCGTGAAATTATGCGCAGTAGCGATGCGCAATGCAATACTGGGNCCAGCTGTAAACAAAAAGCCGCCATTTTTTAATGCGCGCGCGCTAATCACGCGTGAAATTATGCGCAGTAGGGATGCGCAATGCAATACCGGGGAATGACCTTAAGCATTTTTATATATTTTATGTTATACTGGTACCAGTGGTCCTGGACCACAAAAAATTCCAAAATTTATATTTTGGGGTAATTGCAGTATATGCTAAACGTACATAGTTTTTCTTAGGACTATCTTTAGAAGTTCCGTTTTTTTCCCACAAATGTTCCAGTAGGGCAAACCGAAAGAAGTATTTAACCTTACCACCGGACTGAGATTTCTGCAATTTTGGGCTCAGTAGCAAGTGCATCTAGATTCAGGAACAAGATGCTGTTGTTCTCAGTTGTGCTCGTTGTGATCATTTGCAATGCGGGCTTCAGTGTTTGTTAACATTAGCCCTGAACAAAGCCCAGTGAGGATTGCTTAGATTCTACGTTTCACTTTTTCCTCTGCCTTAGAACTTGATGTACTGCTAGTCAAAAAACAACTAGACCCACTAACCTAAAGGAATGTTGAGACCTAGCAGAGCAGACTTGGCAGCATCATGTCGTGCTTGCTTCTTGTTTATGCAATGTTTCATGGCGGTAAATGTTTGTCCCTTCACAAAAACCTGCATTCCAATGCTTCCCTGCACACCAGAAGCTTCGTCATATTTAGGTAGGGTTAATCGGTTTTTCTGGCAATATTGATTTAAGATGCTTACAAAGTCAACAAAATGGTCTGGAAAGGAAACAGAAAAAATGAATTACAATCACAGCAATATTTTTTTCGGGGTCTGATTTTAATTGAGCACATACAGCATTAACTATTTCATCGGACATCACTAGGAACACAGCTAGCCAAATAGCTGAAACATTTTGTGGAATATTAACGAATAAACCTCTTTGTCTAGATAGAGTTTTTGTTTACTTGGTTCTGCTTTAGAAATCATGGATTTTTTTTAATGTCACTTTTTTCAGTGTTTTAGCGTAAATGATATGAATGAAAGACTATTAGTAGTTCATGTAGTGTCATTGTATAATTGGTGGTAGTTCTGGAAAGAACAGTTGCTGGTGACTAAAGTTTCGATCACCTGAGAAGCAGCCACCCTTACAGCCGAGTAAAAAGTGTTTGTCAGTCAAAGGTGTTAGAAATCTGATTCATTGTAAATGATCAGTCAGTTTATTCAGATGGTAATGGCTGAAAGACTCTCGTTAAATTTGTCAACAGTAATTGGTCAGTTCTAGTAAGATTCAATCCATCTGTTGGTAGTCAGTTAAGTCAATAATTGAGGTAATTACGTCATTCTGCTTGATGTTTCTCCATCAGTTTTGTTTAGTAAAGTAAAGTTGTGTAGTTTGTAAAGTGGTCATGGTTGCTAACATCCGTTGAGAGACATTTGTTTTAATGGTGTACCAGCTTTCCAGAGGCAGTCAAAGAAAATCTTTTGTAGTGTACTGTATACATTAGGCGGGGTCTCAGTCAATTCTGTGATTTCTTAAGTTAAAGATGTTTATCAAAGTTACTTGAAAACACGTTTAATAGAGTATCAGCGATTTTGAATTCAGCTTCATTAGAACCTTTACATGACACATGGCACCTAAATCCTCAAAGTATTCTGTCTGGAAAGATGATTTGAGCATGTAACAGGAAAAGGAAAGCAAGCTTAATGTTAAACACAAGATCCTCACCTCTAGAATTTTCTGGCGTTTTTCACCCCACCTTCCTTTCCTTATCCTACCTCTCTGGCATTTTCAAGTCCTTCCATGGGGAGGAGGATATTTTCCGGAACTACACACTATTTCTTCAATAATTTTGTTCAGCTTATTTCATTCGTCATCTAACAAATATTACTCTCAACCATCTACTAAGCTGTTGCAATCTAGCTACAACAAATAGTTATGTACAAGCACCTTCTTCCTTCTCTTGGCGATCTGATGAAAATCCAAAAAATGGCTTCCCAAGCTCAAAGCCAGTTTTGTACTTTTGACTTGATTTTTGTGCAAGCTCTGTTAATGGAAGGTCCCTCAGAGCATCGCTGCTCAACCTTGAGTTCCCAAGATTGGATGGCTCTCCATATGGGTCCAATGACAGGCCTATATCTGCGTCATTTACACTGTCATGTTTGTCCATCCTATATCTAGAGTCCCTGTTGTCCACGTCTTTGCTTAAGTCCCTAAAAAAATCGAAATCATAGTCAACAAGAAAGTAGACATGTTGTGACATGATGGGGGCAGTAAAAGAAAACAACCTTTCAAGACCGATTAATTACTAATTTGGAAGTAGAAAACGAAAATGCACCTTGAGGCATATCAATAACATACTTTGTTAAACACTCCAGTTGTCTCATTACAAAGAGACAGTGACTTAATGCTGTCCATGATTCAGTGAGTAATTCCACATCTAAAATACACTTGATTTTATAACAAATCCCACAAAAAATCTATAACCAGTCGGATCTCGGTAGATCTGTGACTATTGCATAACAATCGTTTCCCATAACATTTCTGACATGCTCCATACCTTTGCCCATCACCTAAGCTTCCTCTTCTATCCTGCTTACTAGACCTGTACCTGGTTCTTGAGTAGTCTCTGGAGTCTCTGCTGTCTCTGTCCTTTGAACTGTCACTGTAGTTCCCTTTCTTTCCTTTCTGATGGTCCTCATCTCTGTAATCTCTGCCAAAGCCAGAATCAAAGTAGTCCCGGCTATCACTCAGTGGTTTCAAAGGAAGAGAAACAAGAGTTCCCTGACTTGACATGGTAAACATGTCACTAGATGATGACTTTCCAAGACTATCATTGTTTCTTTTACGATCTCGTTTGCCATCATAGTCTTTGCTGTCATATCTATTCCTGTCTGGCATACTTGAATCATCGTCATACCACTTACTCTTTTGGAAAGTCTGTTGTAGCACATTTCTCAGATCATCACCATCCTCATTTCTGCTACCAGATTTAGAGTTTGCACTGCGACTGCGTTTACTCTGTGGGTCATCTCGATCCTTCTTGTAGGAAGATGACTTCTCATCGAAAGGGCTATAACTTCGTTTCTCTCTTCGCTGCTGGTCTTTACTGTCTCTAAAATCCGTCCCTTTAGAATAGGAACCACTCTGTGAGTTGTATGCATCTTCAGAAAACTCATCTATAATTGGGCCTCTGTTTCTGTCTCTTGAATAACTGTCATCACGCCCTCTCCCAAACAGTGATGGGTCATCTTTGGCATCTCGAGACTGAACTGCTCTTGAGATTTCTTCCTGTAGACTCTTAAGAACACCATCTCTCCTTAAGTCACGTGCCCCTCCTGGTATGGTCTCCTTCCCTTTGTCAAACATCTGAAAAGTATTGAAGTTAGGTTCATTTCCCTGAAAAATATTTCAAATCAGTTAGAATTTTTCATTATTTAACAAAAATAGCCAAAAAGAAAAACATTTGTCCAACACCTCGGGTACCCAACATATGTAGCTTACTACTCACTGCACATCTTGCTTTGCATGAGATCTTGGGATAAGGCGGAAAAAGAACGAGCCTTGAGAGAACTATCTAAACTATTTTCGCTCTTAATTTTTTGGAGGGGGAACTTGATGAAATATAATCAATTTCTTAAACCTTGAAGTCGATTGTAAACTGCAGAAGTAATAAACAATTATTGGATGAGGTTTTTGTGATATCTGGAATAATCAAGGTCTAGGTAGGGGTTCTCAGCCAAAGCTGAAGGCTGAGGTTGATAACCCTTACCGAGACCTTGATTATTCTGGATATCACAAAAACCGAATCTAATAATTGTTTTATTATACATTGAATGAAAAAAATGGAAGTCGTGTTTTTGCTTCTTTACTGACGGCAAGCAACACAAAGTGTGCGAACTTGACATGATTACCGTGACCTTGAGTGGCCTTGACATGATTATTGTATAATCTGCAGAGATGACGTACAAGCGCTGATTTCAAAAATTCACTGTACATGTGTACACTTTCGACCAATCAGAAAAGAGATAGTGAGTTCAATGTATAATAATAAAGATTATTAGATTTTTGTGTGGAGCATCAGAAAATTTTTGCCAGCCAAGCTGTATTTTGGCACACCCATAGTGGAATCAAAATACACCTGACAAATAAATACAAGCTGTGATACTACATCCTAAATCTTCAAGTGAGAGACTCATAACCCAACTATTCAAACTAGACATCTAGCTTTGGATAATCTGATTAAAATTTTGTCACACAGAGTCAGGGGGGATGAACACAGATAGCAATAATGTGGTTGATAGTTGATGTTATTTGAACTTAAATTGAGTTGAATTTCATGTTCTTAATTTTACTGTAGTGTTACCTTCCACTCAAGGAGCAGATACATGAACAGTATGCCTAAGTAAGGTACCTTTTCACTATTCAAAATGCTGCTCTAAACTGGTAAGACACCAGCTTCAGGACTGCACTTGGAATCACAATTTTCGTTTTGTTTTAATCTAGATTGCGCATCTTGCATGTTTATGTCTACTAGACCAACCAAGACCCACGTGCATTTGTTTACTTTTGTTACACCAATCAAATTTTCTCAATCCATTTGTTTGTCATTTGCTTACTGTTTGCACATAATCATTTCAAGGTCAAACAAAAATATTTGCTCCAAAAAAATTATAAGATCATAGATGCTACATTACTAATGGACAGGTGATTTGTAAGAGCCAAAACAAATTCAGCTAGCTGACAGATTACCTCTTTGTCTCTATACAAAAACAGTCTCACACAGTCTGATACAAACGTCAAAGTGACTTTAGGAGAGCAAGGAACATTGCAAACTGTTTTTCTTAACTCAGTTGGATTTGGGTTTCCATCAGACTATGTAAGCATGTTTTCTATTTCTAACACGTGTGGCAAATTACATCTCCAAACGATTGCCTGTTGATGTATATACAAAGTGGTCTATGTCTAGAGTGCAGAAAGTACCTTAAGCCACAAGATGTTAAAGTAATATAACCTATATTTGCCATTCCAGTTTAGAGCACAATTCCAGAGAATCATGAAGCCTTTGGGGAAGTTTGAATTGAACAAAAGAAGTCAAAGGTTGCTCAAATAATGACCATGTTCTCAACTGGCTCATTAACATGAGCTCTGGCAAACAGCATGATATCCTTCCATAGTAATCTAAACAGTATCTAAAAACCCTGCAACGAGAAAAATATTAAATTTGAGTCTGTACTGTACATAAGACTTGGTAGCAAGTTAATACAAGACAAAAGCAATAATAATAGAGTCTAAAATAATGTTGTAAAGCAGTTTTCTATACCGGTACTCAGCATACTTAGCAGTTCAAACATTGGCCAAAAACTGGCTTTTAAATTGCCATCAATTGCAGCTAAAACATTTTGAACAATGCAAGTTGTACTGTCAGAGTCACTTGCTTCATACAGACCACTCAGTTCCCATTGATTTTAAACAAGCCATGATTGGTGATACTGTTGATGCTCAGTTCACCAATTGTGCAATAGTGTTTGAAGGGGAAGAAGCACGAATATTAAATACAGTTATATATAAACTGATCTGTGAAATATCTACACAGCATTTAGTAAATGCTGTATTTGCATCATGTTAAGCTACACACTTACAAAAGTTAATTACAACCAACCAAAGTACTGTTCAAGCAAACTACTCAAAGAACTGACATTGTTTCTCATTCCAAACTCGATAAACTACTATTTCATTCACCTTTAGCAGAAATACATCTTGAGAACAATACCTCCACACCCGTGGTTCTGCCTCTAGTAGTGTTAAGCTGGCATTGTGTTGCCCAGTCTCCATTGTTCAGTGCTTCATATCAATGGAAAAAGTTTTTCAAAACAGCAGTTAAAAAACGTGTCAAAACTCTAGGCAGCAACAAAATTTTCACCAGTGATCTGCATGGTCCCTTCAGTATATTGCACTTGTGTATGTCTTCTCTCCAGAGCAAAAGCATGGATGGATTCTTCACTTCCCAACTTGAGATCTCCCTTCCTAATAACATTATGCCTTCAACCAGTCATCATTGATTTGATTCATTACAAATGGATTTTGCATGCCATTAGCACACAGACAAGCACATGCACATTCACAACGTTATGACATTTCTTTCAAGCGAAGCTCACAAGGCAAATAAAATAATGGTTGTTTGCTTGGTAGTTGGCATACAGTTGACTGCAATAATATACTGTAATTGACAGAAGTTAAAATTCTGCTTTGAGATATTTTCATTTGAATGAACAAGAACACGTCTTTAGAGAATTCTGCGTACTGTATGCAACACAGTCTATAGTTTGAGATCAAAGTCTATTTTGTTGTTAAATGGATCCAACATTTCACTGCAAAATGGAAAGAATTATATAATAATAATTATACTGGTAGTTCACTTTTGGATAAATAGAGTTCCCTCAAAATTTCTCAAAAGTCAGTCAGGGCTATAATCCACCCACCCCTTCGAATATTTACTCTAATGGCCATCCATATTGCATGAAAAAGATTAAAGTTGGGCACATCTTTTAATTGCATTTTTGCAATATTCATAGCATACTAAGAACCAAGTGGACCAAGTTTTAGAAAATTTTCAAAATCTTGAGTTTGCTGTTTCAGATAAATCACATCAACAAGGTAGGTTCACATTATGATACTAATATTTTTATAATCCCTTCCAATGATGCCATGACAGGTATAATAATTTGTACTTAATTTTCTTTTGCCTTTGGTTATCAAGAGCTCATCAGGAATTTTGATTGGACATGTAACTGAGGTAAGCTTAATTAAGAGACTGGGGGGTTCCATTGTTTCTGATGCTAAAGTAAATGTGTAAAGCCATTTAATTTAATGGAATGCATCTTATGTTTCTGAATATGTAAAAGGAATGAAAACCAAAGCCACAGGATTGTCACGGTGTTTTGAAGTAGATGGCATTATTACCGGTATTGGACTTAGTGGCTGATAATGCCAGTTGAATAGCAAGCAGAGTGGCCAACAGAGATCACGAAGTGCTTTTGATAACCCTGAAGCCAGACTGGGAAAATGCGGTTCCCCCTTACACATACAGGGCATGGAAAAAATTCACATCCTGTCATTCTGGACAACTGAAGTAGATTTTCTAGTTGAGCAGGTAACTTTCCCTTCTCACTTGCCCAATGGGCAAGCACCCTGGCAAACTGTTTGCAATCCACTTAAGAAATGGGGAAAGTGAGAAAGTGCCCCAGACAAGACCAGTTTCAGTGTTGCTTCGTTAAGGGACAGACTGGAATGAAAAGTATTCTATGCCGTCATTAACAGAAGCATGTAACAACTTTTATGAAACAGCATACTATAAACACTGTGATTACATGTTCCAGAAAATATCCATACCCACCAAAGAAAGTTTTTGGCTTGAACATCCCACACCCCTAGAAATTCCAGTCTAGCTTAATACTTTCAGTTTGCAAATTTTTCCATTTGAGAGCCCCAACCTCTCCGAATTTCAACCAACCTTCCTTCCTTCACATTACTATCTTAAACAGAGAAAACCACTTATTTTGCATTTTCATTTCATAAATGAAACTGAAATGTTCCTTCCCTCATTTCCTTAATAAACACATTCATGGATGTGTGAAAACTGCCCCTCTTTTCTACAACTCCACAGAAGCATGAGTTAAATCTTTTTAATTACCAGTTATTTTAAACTAGTAATAGTTCTCACTAATGAGCACTGTCCCTGCTTTTTTCTTTGCCTATTGAACATGTCTAAACATTACGTATGAACTAGAATTTTTATTTCTGTTGAAGTTAAGATGATGCCTGATCTCATTGTTATTCTCAATTTCTTGTTTCTGAAGGTAAAAATTCCTTATTTAATTGCTTATGTGAAGTGTTTCAGGTACCACTCAAAAATTTGGTTGTCTAGAACTTTGTTTTGCCTATGACTATCTAACAAGGTAATGGTGTACCAGTATTTTATTTACCTTATTACGTAAAGGAAACAGAAAATTACTGCTTCATGACCTGTTTCAAATACATCTACTCAAAAAGGTTTGGGAAACTGTAAACCCTTGCTGGTTTTGACAACCTTTCATTAGTTATACCTGTCCATCATGTTTGCATAAGACTTAGTTAACATGCATCATTTTAATTTCTTATATGTAAATGGAGGTTGTGTTAATTAAGATGTTGGGCACTTTTGGCATAAAAATGCCACTTGTTATATTTCAAAATACAGTAGAAGCTCTCATAAGCACATACCCTTGGGACGCAAAAAATGTCCATAACTGGAGCAGGCCACTTATGAGAATGGTTCTAGTAAGCAGCCATTAGAGATGTAAGGGATAGATGGCTGGCTTTTGGGAGCTTGCCCAGCTAACAATGTACACTGGGAATGC